TCTCTCTCTCTCTCTCTCTCTCTCTCTCTCTCTCTCTCTCTCTCTCTCTCTCTCTCTCTCTCTAACTGGCGAGGGGAAAAGGAAAGGGTAGAAAGGAAAAATCAAATATTCAAGGTAACATTGATCACATTGAATGACCGATAACTCTAAAGTTCAGTTTGGTGGTGAATGGAGAGCACCATTTGCTGCAGCGCACAGATTACCTACGAGTACCTGATTGGCTATTCGCCGTTCTGAGGAAAACACTGACCCCTCCAACTGTGGGAAGGCTCAATTGCTCGGTCATCGACAACGGAGCTGCTTGATACGTCGTTCACCGAAGGGCGTCGTTGCCGTTGGCAACGGGATCACTTTTCTGATCAGTTTTGTTGGTGAGCGCTGTTCCCGCTAGCAGCGGGAAGGTCAGACTATTATCCCTCTGGTGAGCACCGGCTGCGGAATGTACTTGATTGGTCATGATGAACAGCATCCCTGCCCGCAGCGGAAATGTTTGATTGATATTTCACTTATGAGCACCTGCAGCGGATCTGCTTGATTTGTGACACTGATAGCCCCGCTAGCAGCGGGAATGTCACATTAGTATTTCACTGATAAGCACCTGCAGGAAGGACTGTCGCCATGCGATCCGCTCTGGCAGTCACCCCCGTTACTGCTACTGTAGGAGCTTCCGCCTTTGGGGCCCCCTGACCCTCGTCCGTTAGAAATATGCGAGTCTTCCGCCTGATCATCTGTAACTCACACGAGCCGGTTTCGATGCCGCCAGGTACACCAGAATAGAGCAATGCATGGGTTGCCGAAGGACCCGCCTCAGTGGCTCGACCGTGTCAATCTCGTCCAGCGAACTCTTCATTAAGAACTTCTTCACTCCCCTCTTTCGCGGCGAAAGGATAACCTCCTCTCCATCGACCCGCTGCCCGTCCTTCTCTGTCATCACATAATCCGTGTCAGTCTTCTTCGATGTAGACCCTCTCGCCGACTTGGTGGCTGCCACCCTTATGGGTGTGGTCGCCATATCCCCCTCAAAGGTTATCTTGATGCTCTGGCTCGAGACCGGCTCCTTTTTTTTACTCGGCTTTACTCTCGTTGCTGCGATATTCTCCTTCATCGAAGGGAACATCGATACATCTCCCAGACCATCTGCCCACTTGACGTACTTGCGGTCGTCAAGCACGACAAGTCCCTCATCTATTGCCCGTTTGACGTCCGGGCAATCCCTCTTGATATAATATTCTCCTCTACAGTAGACGCATGAGTTTCTGGGAGTAGATGGCCTGTTGTCCGCGCTTCTAGAGATCGAACTCCTGGCTGCCTTGGGGTCAGGCGACTTGGGATATGATTCTGATGAGACGCCATATCCCCCTCTCTCATTCCGACCGCGCAAATCGTTGCGGCGGTCTCCTCCAGACCCTCCTTGCTTATACCGCCCTCGCGAATCATTCTGGCGGTCCCCTGAGTCATATCGCGCTCGTGACTCATCGCGTCGGTCCCCTCGGTTGTACCAACCCCGCGACTCGTCGCGCTGCTCTCTCGCATCTCCCCCGCGCTCAAGCCGTCCGCGCGACCCATCTCGTCGTTCCCAGTCCCGATCTCCTCTTTCATACCTACCACCCCTGTAGCCATCTCGACCCGACCTCTCGTATCTGTCGTCCCTATATCCATCTCGGTCCGATCTCTCGTATCTATCATCCCTATATCCATCTCGGTCCGATCTCTCGTATCTGTCGTCCCTATATCCATCTCGTCGGCCCTGATCTGTCTCCCATCGGCTGGGGAAGTCGCCTCTACCCCGATCGGCCTCATAGCGAGGGCTTCGCGGGTAATCATCCAGCCTCCTTGCTCGCGCAAACAGCTCGCGATCTCTGCGGTCTCGGTCTATCTCATCATCCCTACATCGCCATGGCTCATCATCTCTCTCGCTTCCCCTCGTACGATAATCAGTCTGCGTTCAAGGATTTCTATCCTCGATACTCCTCCAGGAATCGTTGTTCCTACGGTCCCAGCGAAGTGAATAGGGCCCTCCAGGTTTGTCCCGGTAGGCCGTGGCCCCTGTAGTGGTCACAATCTCTGTAACCTGTCATGTCAATCCCTTCACCATATCCCGTATCTCCTTCACTTCCTCAGCCAAGGCCTCATTCTTCTCCGATCAGGGATAGTCTTTGAAATCAGGACATCTATCTGTGGCATACTCCGTGTAGAGAGAGAAGTCGCGTCTCCTCATCCCTCTCCACACCAAGTCCTTGTAATCGTCTGCCTCTGCCTTTATCGCGAGCTTTAGGACTTTTGGGAAATCAAGCCTGTCGCACGGAAGATCTCTAAGTATACTCTTTTGCCTACCTTTGGACAAGTGTCCGATGAAGATAGTACAGCGCTCGACCTCTGAGATCTTCCCCTTCTTCATCAGCACGTCGGAGATCTTCTGGAAACGCATCCCAAATGCCCGTACGCTCTCATCTTCATCTTGAGTCATTGTTTCAAGGTCCTTGATGGAATACTTGTTATCCTCCAATTTGTAAAGC